ATATATATGCCTAACGATAGGCAATAGCGATGATAGGTTAAGTAATAGATCATAGTTTTTGCAATTGCTACTGCTAGTAACTTTTAGTCTATTGCTATAAGCTATTCCGTAGCGGTGACCGGAATTGGCCCAGAAAAGTCTGCCCTAGAGCTTCGCTCGCTTCGCGAGCTCAGCAATCACAATCTTGGTTGTTCCGCAGGGCACAAAGCGCACAGCCGCAATCTCTATTCTTGACATCTTCGGCTTCGAGGACTTCAAGGAGAACAGCTTCGAGCAGCTCTGCATCAACTATGCCAATGAAAACCTCCAGTTCTACTTCAACAAGCACATCTTCAAGCTGGAGCAGCAGGAGTACGCCCGTGACAAGATCGACTGGCAGACCATTACATACAATGTAAGTTTTCTGCCTTACCATCATTAGGTTTTAGGTCCACTCTATATGTTTATATCACTCCTTTCCCTCGCTTTCCTAGGACAATATGCCTGTCATCAACCTGATCGCCAAGAAGCCGGTGGGCATCTTGCACCTACTGGACGACGAGTCCAATTTCCCCAAGGCCTCGGACCTGTCCTTCCTGGAGAAGTGCCACTACAACCACGCGCTGGACGAGCTGTACTCGCGGCCGCGCATGTCCAGCCTGGAGTTCGGCGTGCGGCACTATGCCGGCCAGGTCTGGTACAACGTGGAAGGTTTCCTGGACAAGAACAGAGACACACTGCGGCCCGACGTCGTGGAACTGCTCATCAACAGCAAAGTAACGGTAAGTTGACACAGTGGTGTGATCTGTTACTTTCACTGCCTCATTTTCGATTTTAAACGCATTTTTTTCCTGCGGCAGATGTTGAGCCGCATGTTCCAGAGCGTGCGCTCGCACCACGAGACGGCCAAGACCATCAACAAGGCCAACGGGCGATTTGTGACGATGAAGCCGAGGACGCCGACCGTGGCGGCGCGCTTCCACGACTCGCTGCAGCAGCTGCTCGAGTCCATGACCAAGTGCAACCCGTGGTTCGTGCGCTGCATCAAGCCCAACAACGACAAGGCGCCCATGAAGCTCGACATGCCCATCGTGCTGGAGCAGCTGCGCTACACGGGCATGCTGGAGACGATCCGGATCCGCAAGACGGGCTACCCAATCCGCCTCAAGTTCGGCCACTTCGTGGAGCGCTATCGCTACCTGCTGCGGCCGCGCGGCTGCAGCCTGCCGCGTGGGGCGCCCTTCCGCGAGCTGTGCCGCGCCATCCTGGACCAGGCCGACCAGCAGGCGGCGGGCCACGGCCAGGGCCAGGACTACCAGCTCGGCACGACGCGCGTCTTTATGCGCGAGAACCTGGAGCGGCGGCTGGAGAAGGAGCGCGCCGACATCCTGCGCGCCGCGGCCGTGACGGTGCAGCGCCACGTGCGCGGCTACCTGGCGCGGCGCCGCTACCGCGCGTGCAAGCGCAGCGCCGTGCGGCTGCAGGCGGCCGTGCGCGGCTACGCGGCGCGCAAGCGCTACCGGGCCGTGCGCGCGGGCGTGGTGCGCGCCCAGGCCCACTTCAGGGGCAAGCGCCAGCGCCGCCGCTACCTCGAGCTCAAGGAGGAGCTCAAGCGCCGCTCCGAGGTGGAGAAGGTGGCCCGGGAGCGCGCTAAGGTTAAGGCCCAGCGCGACGAGCAGGAGCGCACCTCCAGGGCTGTGGCGGGCGTCAACCACCTGGAGATCCCCGCCGAGCTGGCCTTCATCTTCAGCAAGCTGGATGGTGAGCAAGGCAGATATTCACAAACGACAAAAATAACCTCCCATGGCTTGGTTTTGTTCTCTATCTGTGCATTCTTTTCCTGCTTTAGATTGGCAACCGACTCACACGGAGCGCAACCTGGTCAAAGTGGTGGGCGGAGTTCCTCCGCGACCCGATCGGTACTTCCTGCCGAACGACATCGACTACCATGCCTTCACCAAGTTCACCAACGTGTACTTCAAGTCACACCTATGGGGCATGAAGCGCGAGCCCATCAAGACGCCCTTCCTGGCCAAGTCAAAGGACATCGACTACCAGGACTCGTTGGCCATTTTCAAGCTCATCCTGCGCTTCATGAACGACAACAACCTGAACGGCAAGAAAGAGGTCGCCCTGGGTGACTACATCGTCAACAAGGTAAGTGAGAGCCATGAAATTTCCGAACACAGATCGAAGTCTCTCCTAGACTTCTTCGCTCACCTGGCTCGACCCTCCACCCTCAGGGTATCGTCAACGAGAAGCTGCGCGACGAGATCCTATGCCAGCTGTGCAACCAGACTTGGAAGAACGACAAGGACGCCAACAACGAGCGCGGCTGGCTGCTGCTCGCCAACTGCTTGTCGTGCTTCCCGCCCTCGCACACCCTGCACAAGTTCCTCCTCAAGTAAGTTAGCTCGACAAAGGCCTTCTCTCCCTCTCATCTAATTTTTACCCCTATGGCCTATGGCTCATGACCTCATGCCCCGCGCAGGTTCGTCTCGGACCACGGCTGGGACGGCTACAAGGCGGTCTGCCAGCGCAAGCTGCTGCAGTCGCAGTGCGCGCGCAGCGGCAGCGCCGGGGGCCACGGGGACGGCGCGCACACGCCGTCGCGCACCTACCCGCCCTGCCTGCTCGAGTGGCGCGCCAACCGCAAGCGCGTCAACATGGCCCTGCCCGTGCACTTCGCCGACGGTGAGCAGCGCGTCACGGCCGTCGAGTCGTGGACGACGAGCGAGGAGCTCGCCTCGCTGGTGGTGCGGGAGCGCGGCATCGCCGAGTGCAGCGGCTGGAGCGTGAGCCTCGCCACCAGCGGCAACGCCGGCGAGGTGGGCCTCGAGCCGGGCGTCAAGGAGAGTGCCGGCTACGACTACGTCCTGGACCTGGTGTCGGAGATGGAGCTGGCGCCGGCCTTCCCGGCCTGCAGGAACAGCTTCCTGTCTTCGCCCGACAAGCCCAAACGCACTAGCAGCAGCGGCGCCAGCAAGGTGCTGGCCACCCCGGCCGGCCCCATCGCCGTGGAGGTGGAGGTGGACGATCCGCCGCTTCCCTCGCCTACGCGCCGGCCCGGCGTCCCACCGCCAGAGCCACCCGTCCCCAAGCAGCCCGTGAGTATCGTCCCGAGCCCGCCCTCCTGCTCCTCGAGTAGAACCGCACTAACCCCCGTCCCACCCGCCTTGCAGGCCGCGCGCAAGCCGTCGCGCGAGCTGCTGGTGGAGAGCAAGAAGAACCACGCCAGCCCCGTCAACGGCGTCGGCCACGGCCACGCGCCCAACCACGCGCCGGGCCGCGTGCGCTCCCAGTCCAGGGACCACACTGCGGAGATCGGCCTGTCGCGCAAGTCTGCGCTCAACGACCGCTACTTTGAGGACAAGCCCGGCCGCAGCCGCAGCTTGGACAACCTCCTGGAGTCGGTAAGTACCGTGCGCCCATCCGTGCACCGCGCCCTCTCCACGGAGACGCGCTGACCCGCTGACGGCGCCTTTTGCTTTCCGCAGGAGATGGCGCCGCCGCGCAAGCTCGAGTCGCTGGGGCTGTCGCAGAGCCGCCTCAACGACCGGTACCACTCCATGGAGAAGATGCCGCACGCGCTGGGCAGCCCCATGGGCGGCAGCCCCAACGGCATCGGCCCGGTCAACGGCGCGCCCGTCGTGCCCGAGCCGCCGCTCATGCGGATGTCGGCCGTCAGCAACAAGGAGTACATGACCAAGGCGGAGGCCATGCTGGAGGACAATCTGGAGTCGGTGAGCCAGCGCGGCCGGGACTCGCCGCGCAAGTACAGCCTGAGCAGCAAGCCCGACCCGGCCCTCGAGCTGCTCGAGCTGCGCGACGGCCACGGCCACCACATCCTCGACTTCGACTACAACGACATCGCGTCGCAGGCCAGCCAGGCGTGCCGCAGCGAGGACGACAAGGGCAGCTACATCCGCGGCCACCCGCGCTTCATCAAGTCGCACTACGCGGGCAAGCGCGCCGCGCCCGGCAGCCACTCCAGCCGCGCCTACATTGAGGGCCGCAACAACTCGGAGAAGTCCGAGTACGGTGCCAAGTCGTCCGCCCTCTCTGACACCAGCGAGGCGCCTTCCCTCGGTGAGTATTCATACCACACGGTGGTGAGGGGTATTGGCGCCTTTTCGGCTGAAACTGTCCTGACCTTGGTTTTGTACTTCTCGCAGCATCCCATGTTCGGCGGGTGCGAGTGCCCTCACAGGCGTCCGACGTGGACCAGTTCCTGGACGACCTCTTCATGCCGGTGCTCGACGGGAACCTGGACGAGCTGTCGGACGCGCGCTCGCTGGCCGCCTCCATCAAGGGCGGCGGCCAGGGCGGCGCTCAGGGTGGGCCGCACTCGGCGCCCGGCCCGTCGCGGCGCATCTCGACGCAGAGCTCGGCCAGCCGGCACAGCGACGCCGACGACGAGGTGGCCACGCTGACGGGCTCAGCGGCGCCCTCGCAGAGCGTCGACGACTACATCAGCGACCTCTTCCAGCCCATCTTTGTGAACGAGTCGCTGCGGAGGCTGACGCGCGCCGACACCCTGGCCGTGGCCATCAAGGGCGGCGGCCAGGGCCTGGGCGGCATCGAGACCCGGCAGACGACCGCCACGCAGTCCCAGCCCACGGCCTCGTTCGGCTTCACGCCCATCGGCAACGTGACCTCGCCCACGCCCATGATGCCCGGGCTCATGACGGGCATGATCTCACCGCCGCCGCTCATGATGCCCGGCATGTCGTCCATGCCCATGTTCAGCCCGCAAGGTAGGTGGCCTCCCCTCTCCCTCTCTCACCAACCGCACCGCACCCAGGTTCTACCCGCACTCTCTGCACCCTCTCCGTTTCCAGGGTTGACAGGGTTGACTTTGCCCGACTCTGCCCTAGGCTCAGGCGCGAGCAACGGCCAGCAGCCCAACAGCCTGCTGGCGGAGTCTGGCCACCCGGCCCTCGTGGCCTACCAGCAAAGTCTGCAGCGGGCCTTCCTGCAGTCAGCCATGGCGCAGAACATCCAAATCCAGCAGCAGCTGCTCGCCCAGAACCAGGCGCTGCAGACCTTGTTGCAGACACAGGCCAACTCGCCCAACACATCTGGACAGTCCGGCCAGTCAGGACAGACTCCGGTAAGTGGTGGTCCAACCTGAGGCCTGAGAGGGCGCATCGGTAGTAAAGCTTTTATTTACCACAGCTTTGCATGAGTAATATTTGCTGAATACAAATTAAGCTTACTTTCAGCCTGATTCAACACACTTGAACTGACTATGCACTATTTATCCTCTCTCTAAAGTAATCTAGTAATCACATATCGTTATATGCGTATTGAACACTGCTTTTCCGTGAGCTGCTCTTAACCCCTCTTTGCTTCTGAATTGGCTTTTGGTAAATTAGACTACGACGCCTATCGCTTCGCTTGCCTCGTCCCAAGTCCCAAGCCCGGCCGAGGACCAGGAGAGGGCCGGTGCTTTTCAGAGACACGCTCCTTCAGTTGCGTCGTCAAAGTCATCATCCGCTGGAGAGAGAAACTCAGTGGTTGGGGAGCTCACACCCTCAATTGCTTCTTCTCGTAACACTAGCCCCATCGGAGCAGCAGAAAATGCGTTGTCAGCCACTGCGTCACCTTCTACTGAATCAGAACCTGATCGGGTTTCTAAGGTATCAAGTCCCTTTTATTTTCTTGCATGACAAGGTATTTGATCTTTCAAATACTAAATTTTCAAAAGGAAAATCTTTTTAAACGAATCTTTTCTAGCACCTCAATTTCTCGTAACAGTATAAGAATTTGGCTGCTGTAATCCTTTTCTCGATGTGAAATGCTTGCACTCACTCTGACCTCTCACGCTTTTCTATAAACTTTTATTGTGCGATTTTGAATGCAGTATTGATAGCTTTGAGTAGATAGTTTGGATGTTCACAATTTATTGCACCAGGTATCTTTCCGTGAGCCGGAGAATGGAGACTTATGGTCAACTGAAAAGCAGCAGAACTCAATCTCCAGCCCAGGACCTCCACTGCCACCCAAAGCAAGATCAACACCAATTCAGCCTGTGCTCACAACTGTCACCAGAGCACAGGTTAGCACCTTCAATGCATGCCACCAATAAAGCTTAACACAGGCCTTCTGTAATGGCATAGAAAGGGAATGCGGTTGACATGTGGCAGGGAGCATGATAGCTGAAATCATTATTGTCAGATATTTCTAATGTCTGATGTACATATTCCATCATTGTAGTATTGCCTTAATTAACAATTTTAATATAATTTCACTAGTTATGTACCAGGTGGCTCCACAAATGCCGCTTATCAGGGGTGGTAAATTAAGGTTCTCATTCCTGGTCATTCCTTGTCAATTGCCCATTACTGCCACAGCCAAATAAAACGGTAGTTGTACATGGTTCAGAGGCAAAATTATGTGCTGCGATTGAAGTCCCATTAGAACTTTCTTTGAATTTTAACTCCTTCAGTGATAATTTTTTTGAACCAAAAACGTCTCTCAAGGAATCAAAATTTTAAAAAAAGTGTTATCAACTGGGAAAAAATTTCATCTTGTTTTACTCCTTATTCGTTATCCAAACACTGTTCGACCAAGTGCGAGACCACCTTACACTTGATGTAACAGTTTGACAATGTTAAGCATCGAATGAGAAGGAAAAAATGTCTTAATTTAGCAACCCTGCTATTTGGTGCAGCCTACCCATTCTAGCCTTAAACGTCAGAACAGCGCAAAGCAGGAGGAAGAGGAGGTAGGGGGTATATCTACAACCCCCCACCTTCTTTTTCATCGGCTTTAGGCTGGGGTAGAATGGGTTGCCTACCCTATCGAAAGAACGGCTTCTCTGGGAAACCTTGCACACCGTGTGCCTCAAACATCCATATTTTATTTACACCCCAATTGTTGTTATATTATGATAAGTCTATCTAATTTCTAATCGTTTGCCTGAGCAAGATTCAACGTCACCTAAGCTTCACCCTCACGCACGCCAGTTTCGGGATTGCGAGTTTTGATTGGCTTGGCTGTGCTACAGGTCCACCGCTCGCAGTCCCCAACGCACTCCGGCACCCCTCGCAAGGCCAGCCTCACTCGAAGTCCATCTAACCCTCACACTGCCTTCACCAGTGTGCTATCAGAGCTTCGCAGTCGCAAGAGTTCCGTTGACTCTAACCAGTCTAACAGCAGGGTTAGCAAGCTTTATTTTTTAATTTTCCATTGAATTTCTTTTTGTCTGGCTTTTAGGCATAGTTTTTTGGAAGCGGTCTTATGGCTTGGTTTTCTGATTGCCCTAATGATGGTGCACTATATAGTTGGTGACATCAGCTTATGGGTTAAACTGCATTGAAGTAATGCCGCAATTCTGATTCCTCTTCTGTTTAATTATTTAGCCATGTATTTTATTTGGAAAGCTATGGATTTTAAATATGTGATAATCATGCTTTTTGTTCTTCCCTATGTTTGTGTCATACAGGGAATTCCCCCACCCCCACCCC